GTGTTTATAATCTCAGCTATTTAGGAAGATAAGGCAGCCTGAAAAACCTATCAAGACTTTATATAAAGATAATGAAAAAAAAGATTGAGAATATAGTTAATGATAAAGCATCTCTCAGTTCAATCTCCAGTAGCAGAAAATTGAATGAATGAGTGAATAAATGAATGGGAATTTAATAAGGAAATAGCGACATAATATATGTCAAACTAAGGTTAATGAGCAAGCCTGGTAAAAATGGACTAGACCTTTGTAGGACTGAGTGTGGTCACTGCAGTTCCATGACACACTTTCTCCAAACACACATCTGGATGGCGTTCGATTCTATGCATTCTGCCTCCAAATCACTGCATGAATGTCCTCTTTATTGCTGGTATCCAGTCTGGTACCGCCCTCCTAATTTCTTGCTTAAGCCACCAAAAATCCACCGTACCACAGGGAGATCCATGAGATCCATTCTCAGCAGTGTTGCCAGAGATGTTTTTGCCCACTAACTTCCATAGTGTTGGTCCCTTCCAGAACTGTTCCCAGTTGGACACTTTAATCTTTCTTGGAACAATTGCTTCTTAAAATATAAAAGAGTTTTGGGAAAAATGTGAGGGAAATTTCTTTCCCATTTTCTGTGCCCCAGACTACACAAGGGAAATGAACATGAAATAGAGCCACTGTTAGAAGGCATGAAAGAGGTTCATCAACAAAGAGCAAGGGTAAATCAAATACAAGAACAAAGTGGGTTGCCCACTGTGTCCTTGAGCACAAGGAATCTGGCTCAGCTGCATACTCTGAAGTAGTGCTGAAGCTTTTCTCTAACCCTGAGGTCCCTGCCATTAATAAACATAGTTCACCCTCAAAATATAAGACTTAGGTCCAGCATGGTCAACTGTTTAGAAAAATGGATGATGGGACCATGACGGTGAGCTTGTAATGAACTTCTGGCCTGCATCATCCTGGCATGGACCATGGCCGTGAAACCAGGAATGTTTATCTCAGGAGCACAGAATCGTTTCATGTTGCATTGCTGGAGTCTGTCAAATCACTGTGTGTACATGCTCACACAGAGTGCAGTGTACATGCTCAGCGACCTGTGCTTGGCTTAGTGGTCTGCTGAGGGCCCAACACTTAATTTTACATTTTGCTCAAAAATTACTTAGCCAGTCCAGTCTATGAGCATTTCTCCAAACAGTGCCAAACAACGATTGCAGAATCTAAGACAAATGGGGAAGATGCCCTGTCTCCTGTGATCCAAATCTAAATCTTTGTGGAATTCAAGCCCTAGAGCTAAACATTCCCCACATCTCTCTGCTAGTCTGTAGCTCTGATCTCCTCCTGATCCCATTTCCAATGGGAAAACAGGCCTGGGGATGAAGTGACTTGCCCAAATTCCATGAAACCAGCATTACTAGAGTTGGCTTAGAAGTACAGCCTTTCCAATCTGCTGCCCCATATCAGGCTGATGTCCCCAAGGATAGAACAAGCAGTGGGAGGAGGTAACGCAGCAAGGCATGCAGGGATAGAGACAGATTTGGAAGGAGAAGCAAAGTTAAGTCTGGAGTCACGAATGCCACACATGTCTACATCTCTTGCCTTCATATGAACAGCCATAGCAATTTTCTGCCAGGGATTCTCCTGCTTCCAATATGTGCCATTCCCTGTATACTTTTCCCTCTTTCTGCTTCAGGCTGTGCTTTTCCCATGGAGTATCCACTTGAATCCTCCCATTGTGTTCTATTGAAGTCCAATGTGATTATTCATTAATTTGTCTCCTGAGCTACTGATCTACAGATTCAAAGAGCACCACGGGGACCTGTATGGACCACATGTTCACAGCTGACTCCAACATCAAGTCCAGAATGAGCATTCCATATATATTTGTAGAAGGGGAAGAAAAAATTCATAAGAAAAAAGACTTGGACCAGCATGGACAGCATTGTATGAAGTGCATCAGGGGCTAACACACATAATGTCTTCTCATAAAACACAGTCGAACTCTAGTTTCTCTGGCAATTTTGAGCTTATGTTTCCTGGTCATCACTTGAGAAGGGAATAGGTGAGGACTAGCTTCCTCAAGGCATGAAAGACACAGGGAAGATACCTGTACTTCCAAAATATTATGTAATGGCAGAAGATTGAGGGATCAGAAGGCACATGAAAGAGGGCAGAGGGCAGGTCTGAGTAGCACTTCAATCTGGATGGGCCACTTCTGTACTTAATGTGAATTATTTAGATGCCTTTTGAACACTTCTTAACAGTTTTTTTTTTTTTTGAGGTAATGACTGTTATAAGGACTTTTACATGTCTTTATGACATGTACATTGTCATCACTAATCCTTGGATCTTGCTGTATTGTTACCTAAATTGGTACAGATAATGATGAAAGTCTCCAATGGATAACCATGACATTCTCGGTCATATGTTTTTCCTGCAGCTTGAAAGTTCTCAAAAGAGAAAAGATATCAAATGCCTGCTGCTACCACACTTTTAAATTGCGATCTTTTGAAAAGCACCAGCATGTGTTTTAGATTGATTTCCCTGTTTTAGGGAAATGACAGTCAGTACCTTCAGTCCTGATGGTATTAGCAAGAAAAATAAAATGTGATTGAAGTTGTACCTTGCAACACTGGTGTTCAACAGCTAGCAGCTTATGTGATTCGCCCCCATGCATTGTTAGTGTCACAATTTTGTGGTGTCTCCAGCAGCTGTTTCTGTAGTATTTGCACTTATCATTTGTCTAATTCACCCTTAGTTGACTTCTCCTTTTTTCATGAGCCACTTATGCTCAAAGTAGTGATTTCTTCTCGTAGATGTATAGGGAGTCTCAAGTTTGATGGAGATAGATAATTTAGTAGTGACTTAGCCATATGTATTATGTTGGAATTTGCACTAGCAGTGTGAGCACTAGCTTTGTGTGCCTATGAACTCAGTGCTGCTTCTTGTCCTATACCACTCTGACTTAATGGAGAATTAATCCCACCTATTAAGCAAAGGCTACTAAGTTAATGGTATTTCCTTTGCAGAAATTAAAAGCTTAATTTTAGCCTTTAACTAAGGAAATTGTCCGGTAGGTACTCAGCTACTTCAAAACAAAACCAAAACTATTTATCATTAGGCAACTGGAGATTTTGCTGGTATTGTAACCTATTAAAATGGATGGGCTTTTGAACACTCCACATTCTAAAGTTTAGGGTGGTGAGTTACAGAGAATCCTGAAATGTTTATTTTAAAATAAAATAAATGCTTGAGTTTAAAAAAGGAGCACTTCAGATGCCTCAGCCCCCACCTTCCCACATAAATGCCAGTTTGAAGGATAAGGGCACACAGCACCTCATGGTATAGCAAGAAAAAGACTTACAAGTAAGGAAACTGCAGAAGAGAAAGAGGTGGATAAACATGCAAGGGGGACTTCTCTTTTTTCAGAGGCAGATTCATTCTTCCAGTAGTGGTAACATTCCTTTACTCTTATTTTATTTATGCCCTTAGTGTGAAACAAACCTCCCCTCGCCCTGTTCTTTTCCCTCCCCTTCAGAATGAAGGTTGTGACCTATGGCTAAAGCCTGTTAGAATGGTCAAAGCCCCTGTAGGATGGTTTGCAAGCTCTACCTTCTCTGAACTTGTGCCTCTCAGCTTCCATTTGCTCAGGTAAAGCCTGACAAAAAATAAGAAACTGGATCTGTTCCTAGTTCCACCTCATACTACCTTTTTCAGGGGCAAACACTTTGCTACGCACCCAGATAAACTGAATATTGACAAATTAGGAGTTGTGTTGGTCATCTTGGCCAACTGTTACTCGAGATCTCAAGAGAGAATCTCATAACCTGAGTCTTTCCTGGCTTTCTTTCTCACTTATGTGCAAATATGAATTATTGAATTTAAAAACTTCATTTAGAACTATACTTCTCCTAAGCCTGCCTTACAACAAATCTCAAAACTCATCCCTATAATCTATGAATTCAACATGAGGAATGTGGATTTGTTGATATGTTGCAAACAAAATCAGCCTGCCTCTTCTCCTTTATACAGTGTTAGAATGTATCTGAATCTCCATTACAAGATGAGCAGCTTTTGCAAAGATGAAAACTATATTTTGAGAAGATGACCCCAGAACACCATGTTCCAGAATGGTGGTGACTGGGCTGGGGATTTAGCTCAGCGACAAAGTGCCTGCTTGGCAAGCGCAAGGTCATGGGTTCAATTCCTGGTACCAGAAGAAAAACAAACAACAACAAAAGAAAAAACCAGAAGGGTGGTGACCTACAGAAGTTGTTCCTCCCAACTGAGCTTACAACACTCAGTAATACAGACCCTCAGCCCCTACAGCCAAGAGAGAAGCAAGCCTGGTTACTGCTCCAGCTGGTGGCAGACCTTGGTGGCATCCACATGGTGCTGATTTTCGATGAATGCATGACACAAGATGTTGGGATCAGAAGGGCTTCCACTCAGACTTCCTCTCACATTTCAGAAGAAAGTCTGAGATATCAAGTAGTGTTTACCTGAGATGGTAGTCTGCAAAGCAGTGAGTATAAAATCAGAGGTTCAGTGAAGACCCCAGAAAGATGGAGAATCCAGGAATACAGATCATCAGAGGAAAGCCGCAAGAAGTGAGCAAAGCCTAAGACAGAATCCATAAGAACTGCAATTACTGGCAGTGCCACAGGGATGAAGACTCCCAAGCCCACTGAAGGTTACATCTTCCCATAGTTGGTCCCAGATGCTGGACTGGGTACTGCCAGCCTTAATGGCTGGCTTGTTGGATTTTGGACTTTCTTTGTTTCTATTGCTTTCTAACCCCTATTTGTATCTGTTGAAATAGCAGTGTCTATCTTGTGCCATTATGTTTTGGAAATGTTTGCCTTTCTTTACATTTGTACAGTGGCTTTCAGCTAAGACAGTGCCTTAAAACCTAGTGGAGACTTTGAACTTGGATCTTTCTGAAATGTTGGAACTGCTAGGAATTTGGCATCTATTAAACTTGGACTTTGGCATAAAAGGAAGTGCATAAGTCTTTTGCAAGGTAGGGGTGGAATATTATTGCTTATACCTAGATTTTCCCCCAACGTCTCATGTGGTTTTTCAGAGGTGGCTGAATCTAGGGTGTTTGAATGGAAATTAAAGGTGGGATACTGAGATTAGTGCAGAATTAGTCAGCTTCTTCAGTTGCCACAACCTTGGATAAACAAACAGCAGGAACTCAGGAACAAAAGGTGCCTTAAAAACCTATAGGCTGTAAAGGTAAGCAGAGAAAACTGACTTCCTGAATGGCAAAAGTGCAGATTCTGGAAGGAATCTACTTATTGCAATCTACAAAGAATTTTTTCATTTTGCTCTGTTTTGTGGAAAGTTTTTTGCAATATTTTTCCTCTTTTTTCTTTGCTAGATTGTTGGCGTTTGTGGAGCCTTCCTTTTTCCTTTATTTCCCTTTCTTTCTTATTTCTTTTTTTTATTTTTATAAGTGATTCATTCCTTTCTCTATGTGCATTTAGCATTCTTTTCTCATGATGTACTTCCAGCATCTTGACTATAATGTGTCATGGGGTGGTCGTATTTTGCTTGTGGCTCTTTGTGGTTTTACATATTTCACTTATTTGAATGGTAAATTCTTTTCTTTTGCTTGCAAATCTTGATGTTGTTATTTTAGTAAACAGGTATTTTTTTTGCTATTTTTGCTGTGTTCCAATTTTTCACTAATTCCAAATAATCATAGATTTGTCTTCTTTTGTGTTATCTAGCAGCTGTTGGGTCTATTGCTCCTGTTGTCTTCTTGTTTTTAAGATATCCCTCAATGACAGTGACAGCAACGCTATCATCTAGTTCTGACACTGTCCCCATACTGGTCAAGTCTGCTGCTTGTATTTTCAATAGAACTTTTAATCTCCTGAATTTCTGTTTCAAAACTTCTTATGGACTCGTTCTTTTCTAGTTGGTTATTTTTGTTTTGCATTGTTTTGTTTAGCTCTGCTAGCTTTTTATTAACGTCTTATGTTTCCTCCTTATTTGCCGGATTTTTTTTAATTGTTTGGTTTATCACTGCTAGTTTTTTTATTGGAATCTTCTCTAGACTTGCTGATTGTGTTTTTTTCTTTTTAATTTGGCCCATTATCTGCTTACATGTTTTATCAGTTTATATCTCCTGTGAATTTGCCAAGTACCTTATTGATCTATTTTGCTATCTCTTCTGTCATTTTTTTGAATAGCTCAGCTGTGTGTCTTTTGGTTTCCTCCCTTTTGATGCTGCATCAATGTGTTTAGGGGAACTGGGAACATTTGAAAATATTTTTCTTCATTTTTTCTCATGTTTCTACTTTTGGTTCTTGTCCTGTGTTTTCTGTGTGTATGTGTGTGTGTGTGTGTGTGTGTGTGTGTGTGTGTGTGTGTGTGTATGAGTATGTGCAAGAAGGAATGTGGGTTCACTTTAGTGGAAAGCTTTGTTGTTAGCATGAAGACCTCTTTAGTTAATGTCTGCCATTCAGTGGTGTCCTCTGTACATGACTATTAGCCTTTGCCTCTGTCCCAGGTCCAGCCACTTACATTTACTGGAAGGAAGGTTCATAGCATATCAGACCCAATATTCAGTTCTCCAGGTATGGGCTACTGTATTGTTAATGACTTAAAGGTAATTCAGATACTAGCATCCTCAATGAGCTAATTAATAGCAATAACAATGACACTTTGGCTGTAATAGTAAAAGCATTAACAATTTAATAGCATTAAAATGAAAACTGAATATTCACAAATTCTAGGAAGGAATAGCCACATAAAAAGATCTATAAATATAGTATGAACACTAAGACAAACCACATATTGACCTAAAATGGACCTAGCATAAATATGAGCTAAGTAGAACTGTACCTCCACCAACAGTGGAATAGAGTTCATAACATAAAATTCCCTTTAAAATAAAAGAATTCTTAAAAATCACATAAATCTTGATAGCTATACTGGTAAAGGTACAGGAGTGCAGGAACCAGAAAATGATAAAGAAAATATTGGAAACCTGATAAATGGAATATGAAAAAGTGCAGAGAAAAGAAATTAAGGAATCCTATTGAGAAGTTGCTAAGGCTTATGAATGGATGTCCCACAAAAGCCTCATGCAGTGATAAGTGGGACTTTTTGGAGGTGGCTGGATTGAGGGTGTGAACTAGCCCTTTCAAGGATGGGATGCTAGGATTTAGGATATGAGTGCTACCCTCCCTAAGGCTGGGTAGCCTGGCTAGGGTATAAGGGACAGAATGAGAGTCCTCATTTGTTGCTAGTTTGTCACTTCCTTGCCACTTCAAGACCCCCCTGATTTGCCATGGACTGTGGATTCTCTGGGATGACCATCTGCCCTTTCTCTGTGATTTGACTGAGGGCCTTTGTTTCTGGACCTGCAGTTTTGGATTCAACCTGTACCAAGGTATTTTCTCTTTTCCACAATAATGTCTACACAGTCAGCTTCACAGACTTAGCTGTCAGATTGAACTGTGGAATCCAGATGCACCAGAATGTGGCAATTCCTAGGAAAGCCCTGAGATGTTGGTTGGAAGCAGGGCTTTCCTTATTAACAAGCAGATCCTATAAGGCTTGTAGCACCCAGGTGACTGCAAGGCTTTTAGTGCTGAAGGGAAATATGAGTCCTAAAAATTGTTCTTTTTGTAAGGAGATCTGGGACATTTAGGCACTGACTTTCTAGCTGTTTTTTGGCCAAAGAAACTTGAATACTCTTTTGGTCTTATGTGCTTTTACCCTAACTACAGATCAGAATGTCGTCTACATATTGCAGGAGGTTTCTCTCAGGGGAGAGGGTGAAGGACATCAGATCTTTGGCTAATGGCTAAACAAAAAGTTTGGGCTATCCCCGACCTTGAAACAAGACTGCCCAAGTGAACGGTTAGGTGGTCTAGATGTTGAGGACCTGCCATGTAAAAGTGAAGAAGAATTAGGGTGAAAGGAAAGGCAAAAGAAGGCATCCTTAAAGTCCAATAATGTGAACCATGAGGCCTCTGGAGACACCTATTCAAGATCTGTGTTATGGTCTGTGCATAGATGTCCCCACACAGCCTCATGCAGCCAAAGATGGGAGTTTTCAGAGGTAACCCAGAACAATAATTTGTCATACTGGGATTAAGAGTGTTTAATTACTAAATTAGTCTACTGATTGGTTTGGCATCATTCTGAGATGAAGTGAGTGCTACCTGCCCTAAGGTTGGGTAGCCTGGATTAAATCAAGAGAGAAGGTAGGCTAATATCTTTCCCTGTTCCTTGTCTTTTCTCTGTGCTGCCTTGCTATCATAAGCTGTTTCTCCTCTGTGATACCCCTCCTCCATACCCCCTGCCTGGAATCCAGCTAACTGTGAACTGAAACCTGTAGAAACTTTGAATCAAATATACCCATTTTCCTTCAACTTTGGGTGTTGAGTATTTTGTCTCAGCAAGGAAAAAAAGTAACTAAGACCAACTGCATAAGGATTAAGGGCTATGGAATAAATAGAAACCATTGCCTTGGCTTAATGGCCTTTATGTCTTGTACTATGAGAAACATCAATGCATTTCACTAACCTAATGAGGGTTGCAGGTAATGTCACAGGCACACTAGAGTCCAGCCTCAAGGAATTTGTCAATACTGAGTCTGAGCCACTTGAGAGCTTCAAGGTGAGGCAAAAGGAATGGATCCTTGAGGGTAATTTTGACAGGCTGGGCCATTTTGGACCATCCCAGTAAGGAGATATCTCAGAATTTTCAAAAATCTGAGTCACAAATGTAGGGGTTATGTGTATGCAGGCTTCAGGGTGAATAGGAAGGGTCCCACATAAGCTAGAAACAATGAAGGTGGAGATCAAATGTGGCTTGTAATTTGACATTAATGTCCAGTCCAAGTTGGAAAATAGAGAATCTAGGAAAAACTAGGAAGGAGTGTGAGAAATGCCCAATTATCAAGCAGGTTAGGAAGCGAGTAAACCACAGTTTTCTTTTTGGCTTGCCATCTTTGCCCGTAAGCAAGATCAGAAACTGTAAGAACCAGCATGAGAAGGGAGTCAAAGGCACTACATCCCCTCTATCAATAAAGAATATGATCCTGTTCCCTGCTACATCAACACAATCATAGACTCCTTGTGAACGATGGCAAAGTGGGGATTGGAAGACATATTAGACCTCATTATTCTAGATGGTCATATTCCTCAAGTAGAAGAACCTAGAGAGTAAGTCTTTTTTGGGGCTAGGTCTTTCAAAGTGGATGCTCATTCTTCTCATGAAAGGAAGGACTGTCACTACCCTCCGACTTGAGTAGGGATATGGCCCAGGGAGAAGTTTATATCCTTGTGGCTTGGGGTACTATTTGCTCTAATGCCCCATCTGTCCACAGCTGGGAAAAGGGCAGAAGGTGAGAACCACTTTCAATTGCTTTATACAGACAAAATATTCCATTGGCAGGCAGGGCTTGGACTGTGACAGGGGCCATTTTTGGTCCTGATGTTTGTCTTTTTTGTCTTCTAGCAAAGACTTTCTGATCCTTGAGGCCTTTTCTCAATTACTGAAATCCTTGATGACAGTAACTAAATGTGTGGGGTTTCTTGCTCTATCTTTTGTAGCTTTGAACTAATGTTAAGTTTCTCTGTTCCAAAGTGAGTAGTTATAGCTGGGACAAAGTCACATCCTTTGGACATAAACCTCAGTTAATGACCCATACAGAGTATGTTGTGCAGAGAATGTGTCACTACCAGTACCCATTTGACATTTTACAGGCATATCCAGTCTTCCTAGTTCCCCTTTTCTAGGTCAAATTAATATTTCTCAAAGAAAAGTTTGTCTGTCTGTTAATGTTTTCCTCCTTTTATTTTTAAAATAAAAAAATAAAAAAAAATATTTCTGAAAGATTGCATTTATATGCTATTGCTTTGCAGTACAATTTAGGGGTACATTCCCCAATTTGTTAGAATGTCTTAATCCCAGCAGATAAGAGAGTGAAGGAACTCACATGGAGTATGTTGAAAAATACAAACCCTCCTGTAAACTTCTACCTTTATTCTATCTACCTTTGTCTTTTGAACTTTAACTTATGTCAGGACTTTCTCAACATATTTTTGTTTTATAATGCTTTTCAGGGGAGAGTTCCCAGGATAGACATATGAGCCCTTCTTATCAAACATTTGGGCAATGATGAAGCAGCTTCTTTGCATAAAGAACATTTCAATATTCAACACTTCAATATGCGTTATACTGTTGACCTTTGCATTCTTTTTTCACGTTGGACGGGTAATGTGCCAAAGTCATAACAAGGTCGGAGGGAGGCACACTTCACGCAGATGGCAGGAACACCCAATCATCATGCTCCTACCTTTGCATTCTTACGTTATAGGTCTAGGAAATCCCGTTTTCCTTCAGGCAATTTTATCCCCTTTGTGCAGAAGGCTTTCAGTTCCCAGTAAGAGTTTAAATCAAGGGACTGTGACCCTTTTACCAAACTTTATCTTGATTTTTTGCCTAACTTTTGTCCAAATGTCACCACGTGCCCGACTCAGTCCACATGTACCTGCAAAATGCAAGGATGATACTCTCATGAACAGGGAGTCTCTTTTCCCATAGAAAGAAAGCTATGGGGAAATATTTCTGGGTTCTGCAGATATTTAGAACATATAACAAGTTCCATCTAATCTGCAAGTTTTGCTTTTCTTGTGGTATGGGGAATGGCTAAAGGTGAAGATAGATCGTATGGGTGGGGCTAGAGCAAGGACAGCTCTGAGATCAAGAAGCACTCAAGGTGAGCCAGGTGAAGGAGTATGTATTCATAGTCAGGATAAGGTGGTCTGGAAGAATGTTTCAACTTGGATACTCAGGATCAGGGAGTCTGGAGACATGTTTGAACTTGTTTGGCTAGTGGTCCTGGAAGAAAGGTCAGTAGACATGGATGATGATATCACTGTGTTAATACGTTCGCATCACAGCAACTGCCTCCATATTTCAAACGCTACTTGATGTGGTAGTCTCAGCATGTGCAGTTAAGCACCATGTCCAAATCTAATGTCCACTCAAAGGTGAAATTTATGATATTAATGAATTGGAAGAGAAGGAATACCTGGTGCAAAGAATTGAGTTAATACATTATAAAATTATGAAAAACAACTATATTTATACTTCCGGCAAAGCTCAAACAAGAGGCAATATTGCCTCTTAGTTTGATTATTCAACTTGCCTGGGTGGGTGAAATTGTTTGTGAGCACCTTGCATTTGGAATATAAGCCTTCAAACTTAAGATTTTTAATATAGAAGACACTTTTATATAATATGATGCACCAGTCTTATCATTAATAAATGAATGATGTTTGAGTACCATGACAGAATCTTTTGAATTTTGTACTCCTTATAAATGAAAGACATTAAGGATCTCTGCTTGGAGACAAGAATTTAGCTTTTGATATTATCTACATTCCAGAAATCTTCATTTCAGCGTGGTTCTGATCCATATCCTCAAGGAAAGAATGTAGAGAAATCTAAACATAAGAGTTTAACTGGAATCCTACCAATGTGTTATCACTTGATCATACTCAGAACCAATCATATTTTGTTCACCTCTTGATCACATGTATACAGTGATCTCCATAAAAACCCAAAGGACAGGGCACTAAGAGCTTCCAGAGAGCTGAATGCCAGACATTTCTGGTGGATTTAGCAGAAAGCAACAGCACTGAAACTCCTTTCCTCTTCCTCCACACAAGATATCTTTCTCTTTGTAGCCTTTATAACCTCCTTTGGTTTATTACCAACATAGTAGGTAAGTGACTATTTCCCTGGATTCTATTATCCCTACATTTAATTGAAACAACTGAGGTATTGTGGGAATCCACACTTACAACTGATTTTTCAGAAGAACACTGAAAGAAACGTGGGTTTTGTAATGGACATCTAAAGTGATTGGAGATTTCAGGGATTAAGGCCAGAAACTGGGATGTGACAGTGTCAAACATTGACACTGCACATGTTGTGATCGCAGAAGTTATCTGTGTTTTGGCTGCTGAGACAAAATAGGCAACATCCAAAGTGGGAGGATGTAAGGTTTATTTAGCTCACAGTTCCTAGAGAGATCTGCTTATAGTTGTCTGGTGCCAAGGCAAAGAGGTATGGTAGAGATGCATCACAGAGGAGAAATAGTCATGGCAAGAAGGCATGTGAGAGCAAGCAAGAGACAACCACACTTCCTTCTGTCCCTTCTATATTATCTAGACTGTTCAGGTGGGTAGTTCTTACCCTTAATCCTAATTTGCTCGATCCTAGCATTGTACCATGAATAATTCCAGCATCACATACTGTAAGCACAGCTACTTCTGAAAAAAACCCATCTATGATTCCAGGAGCCCCTCAGGGAACATTTAGGCATAAGCATCAATAATACATGAGAATATAGTGGACAAACTGATAAATTTCTCCCTCTCAGCCATTATAAGCACTTTGTATTCCATGTGCCTATTGGATTTTTTTCTTCAGCCATCTACAGAGTCACCTGTCATCACACGTGCTCCTCAGTGTGTCCTGCTTCCTGCATTGGCCATGACAGGGTGGAGCTGTTTGCTGACAGGAGCAGGAGGCTTTCTAGGCCAAAGGATCATCCAATCGTTGGTGCAGGAGGAGGGACTTCAGGAGGTCAGAGCCCTGGACAAGTTCTTCAGACCAGAAACCAAGGAAGAATTCCCTAGTAAGTAAAATGGAGGCTTGATGTTAAGGCTCCATTCCACAGCCTAAGCAAGAGTGGGAGAAGATGCTTTGTGAAACAAAAGAAACTTAGAGCTATAAAACAACTCCCATGTCCACACTGATTAGGAGAAATTAAGGATGCACAGGGGAAGAGATCTTGCACAGCTGTTGGGAGACTGGTTTCTAGACTCATTATCAGAGAGCTGTGCTCAAACTCACTTAGTACCCAAGCTCTTTGTATCCCAAACCAAGAACTGAGCAGGACCACAAAAGCAGTAAGAAAGACAGAGATTTATGAAAGGAAACTACACTCATCAGAGTTTCAGTAAGTCAATGTAAAAACTCAAGAACAAGTTTAACTCACAGCTTTAGGTTTTGAGGTATTCACTGGAAATTTTCCCAGGTCTTAAAGCCTGGGATTACATCTAATGTGGGGAATTCTATTGAACAAATTGCAACAGATTTGAGTTTATATGGGGTTGGACAAAACCACAATAGCTGTCCAACCCACTAAGTATCAAAATTAATGCTAATGATAGTATCCTAACGCTGGGCTTACCACTGCTTACCCTGAAATAGTTAGGGTACGTGCTCCTCAGGCTCATGCCAAATGTCAAGAAAGTATAAGAACATGGACATATTTTTTAGGTTCACAGCAGGATGCTAAGAAAATATCATGAATGTCAGAACATATCTGTGTGGCTTATGCCATGACAATTAAAAATATTGGGAGCACAGCATACTCTTTGAACTCCATCAACCAGAGGCATACTTGTCTTTTCTGAGCCTAACAACAGGATGCCTCCCACAGCGCATCTCCTGCCTAAGCCTGACTCAGAACTAGTTATGGTGGCCATAGGCAGCCACTTGACCCCTGGGCCTTTCCACGTCTGGTCAAGAAATCACACATCACTTCTTACTGTCAGCTTGTTGAAGTGCTCAAGTTTCTGACCTTGTGATCTGTGGTATAACACCTGCTGAGAAGTATTAAACCAGAGACCTCAGCAATGAATCAATGCCTCTCTTGGTTGCTTGGGGTCTCATTGTTTGCTTTATTTTAGGGCTATGGGTAGTCAGCATCTTAGGTGAAAGTGAAATAAGAGGAAATGCAAGTAGTGCTGCTCTTGGGTGTGTATATGAGAAAGACAGAAAGACAACAAATTCATGACAACCTGTACCAAAGTAGTTCACACAGGTGAGGAAAGCATGATCAATCTGCCTCACCTGCAAACTTCATATATTCTATTTCCCATGGCTTTCTACTCTGCATCCCCAGAAAGACAGTGAAGCAGATTTGCTGAAGTTATTCATTGTTCTTTTCCCAAATTGTTACCCCTACTACAAATAAAACCCCTGGAAGCATTTCAAATTTTCCCAGCTGCTTTACCGCAGATTTTTAAAACAACCCTATGAAAATAGGGCTCAACCATCTGCAAAAGAAATGAGAGACTAAAGCCTGATTATGGGAAAATAATGGATCTTAAAAATTTAGCTACCTTCCATCCCTGTGACCACATCAAGGAGGCCCGGGTCTGACACTTGGACCAGTTAGGATTGAGCCCTTTTCATTATGTACCATAAACCCACTGTCTACCCCCATTCCCTATTCTAGATATGCTCAGATCACCATAATATGCAAACGAGCCCTTCCAGAAAACTCTAAAAACACACATATCTCTCCTCTTGTTGCTTTCACTATCAGCTCTCTTCTACTGACTCAATAGTGACAATTCAACAGTGCCTCCAAGAAGCAAATACTACAATATGAGCAAAACTGTTTGTAAACCTTATATCTCTGCCATATTTACAATGTAACTGCTGTTAGTAGGAAAAGGCAGTGCTGAGCCTAGAGGAGTAGCTTCCCATGGTGACATTCAGGAGGAGTGACAAGTAAGGAAAGGGCCCAAACAAATGCAAGATTGAAGGATCCTTGCAGTGTTCTATCTGAGACATACATGTTACAATGTTTGTAATGTCAACTAATTGACACTGAACCATCAGAAGACATGTCTAGGAGATAGGAGATGTTGTTAAACTCCATTTTGTCAGAAGAAGACAGGCCTAGAGAAGTGAATTAACTTGCCCAATGTACAACATATAGAGCAAAGTAAAGAAGATTTGGGGACTAGGAGGTCAAGCAGTGGTATATGTGATCTTAGTGACTAGGCTGTGAAGCAGCTTGAATCTGGGTTTTCCTATAATCCACTTAAACACATAGACATAAATTCACATTCTGTCTAGGCAAAGCACTGGCCACAACCACATGACTTGAAAAGGAACCAAAGGCGGCTCCACCATGAAGCACCCACAGTGCCCTCTCCTGGACTGTCAGAGTCTATGAGCTCTAATGGCATGACAGCCCATATCCTCTGGGTCTGGGTTCCCCTTTCCCTCACAGCCATTCCAGTGACCCAGGCTCTGGGAAGTCAGCAGCTTAAAAGACCCAAAGGTAAGTAGCAGTGAGCAGACAAGGAACGCAACAAAGGAAGATGCCATACTCAGGCAGACACCCACCTCCCTACTGCAATCCTTCCCACCACCCTGCATTGTAGGGCCTTCTTGGGTTGCCTGACAAGGGCAAGGGCTGAAAACAAACATAAATTAGCATAGGATTCCATGGAGAGGTCCTTCTTGCACCACAGGAAGAGTTCTCACAGCATCACATTTTTCCTCTGAGTGTATTTCTCCCTCTTCCTGAGCCCTTATTGCCACTGTCATTTCAGCTCATTTATGTTTACTCAGATTCAGAAAATCTAATTCCTAACACCTAAACCTGCACTTGAGGTGCAGGGCAAAGACGGTAAGTTGTGGTGGTGAGAACTCTGCTGCGTTTCAGAGCAATGTGTGCTCAAAACTGTCCTGTAATTTGCTGAACCTGTTTCTTCACCTACACAGGGGAATTCAGAACTAGAATTCCCCTCTGCTGAAGTCTTTAGGAAAGAAAGTGAGTCAAGTGTTAATTTAATTGTAAATTGTACACACAAACAGATGCAGTGTTCACTGAATCTGCCTGTGGCACAGTGTGGGTTTTTTGGGCTACACTGAGCAGGCCACATCACAGGCAGTGTCATTCTATCATATGTGTGGGTGTCACTTGACCTATGGACACATTCATCATGTAGCGATTGTCCTGGACTAGACAGCTGGGATGCAAACCACTGGTTGCTGACTTATTTGCATCACTGATGTCTGCTATGCGTAATACTTGATACCTAGTAAGGCATTTTGTCCTCATTCGAATTCTGGCAGATACATTCTGATTAGTGCATTGCCGTCTTGTTTTTTCTTATATCCTCTCAACAAAGCATTTGATATTCTAAGACCAATGTGAGTATCCTATTCACAGCCCTGCCTCTAGAACTATTTCAGTTCCAAATCATTATGTGATTAATCATTGCATACACAATTGAAATCTAATTTTGTCTCCTTATCCTAGTGTAACAACTTCAGGACTCTCCTTGATGAGTCTGATGAAACAGCCCCAGACTCATTAACATTTTTTGTTCAGATACTCATCAGAGTTATTACTCAGATTCACGTTCTGCAACAGAATGAGGTACATGCAGTTGTTTGTTATTTGCCAGTAAATGCTGCACTCTTTGATTTCTGAGCCTTCATTACCTTGTTCCCTCCATGCAGTGTCCTCTGCCCTATGGAAGGGGGCTCCCTGCTATGATTACCATTGAAAATCCATATACTAACTGTTAGCTTATCAGTAAAATGCCAGGGCAATCCAGAAATCTTCCTAAAGTTCTGTTTTGTGATTCCAGAGCTGCAGACAAAGACCAAGGTGACAATGATGGAAGGAGACATTCTGGATGCTCAGTGCCTAAGGAGAGCCTGCCAGGGCATCTCAGTTGTCATCCATACTGCTGCTGTTATTGATGTGTCTGGTGCCATTCCTAGACAGACCATCATGGACATCAATCTGAAAGGTAGAGCATCCTTTGGGTGACATGCAGCAGGTGGGAAAAGAGGAATAGCATAGAGAAGAGCAGGGGAAGAGAAGCCCAGCTCTGGAACACCTGCTAGGATCTGGTCCAAGAGACTCTGCTCAACACTTTCAACTTACAGAGATCAACACTATTACTTTCTGATATTTTAGATGAGGAAACCAGGGCACAGAAAATTAATAAAGTTCTCCAAGGCCCCACAGTCATTCAGGAGGAAAGCAAGAATTTAAAAGCACTCATGTTTGACTCCAAAACCATGAATATTTTTCCTTAAGTTACTCTATTATAGGGTCAGCTATCCTCTGACTCTGTACTTTGATATTCATCCACTCAAGGCCTCCCCTATGTGAACTCAGCCTCTGTTAATGCCTCATCAGCTGCACATTTAGAACATGCATGAAGGCTGAAAAGAACATCCAGAGCTACCTGCACATCTGAAAGAAGGCTTCTTGTCCAATGAACTAGCACACCTCATTCACCAGTGTCTGTTACAACAGAGTAGTCCAAAATGGGCCTTCCCATCACATTTACAATCAAAAAATCATGTCCTGTCATCTGTAGTATCTATCTCTCCACACACTACTGTATGTAAACCAGGAGTAGATTCTGATCAGACGCCTAAAAATACAAATTGCAACCAAATCCTCATCTCTAAATGATAGGTGGCTTCTTCTGAGTTGCAGCTTTCTAAGGAAGCTTGCCATGTACCACTATGACACTAAACTCAGAGGCCAGGACTTCCATCACCATTGTGCCTTTGGCCTTTCACCAGCTGTCAGGAGTACCTTGAATACAAATTCAGGGATGCAAAGTCTCCCTTGCTAAGCAAGTCAAGTATTTTTTGTTTTCCAAGACTATCTTAAGAACACATGTTTTAGTTTCTTCCCTACCTACACTACAGAAGGCTGCTATAAGTAATGAGATTTTCATTTCAGGTCCTTGTCCATGAGACTTTCCCTCTGCATATCTTAACAACAGGGGATAAGAAATGAAGGGGGGAAATTTGCAGTTACTTATTTATGGAAACATTTTCACAGCTTAGAACATACTTTACAAAGATAGTCAGTTCCCTTTTTTTCCTTAATTAAACTGTTTTAATTAAGGAAATAGTTTTGTGCTACAAGTTTGATTTTTTTTGAAGGAGATGCTGGTTGTCATAAAGTCAAAGGCAAAAATATTTCAAATGGAGGGGAAAGAAAGAAGGAACAAAGGGATGGAGGAAGAAGAAAAGAAGGACAGAAGGAGGAGAGGAGGAAGCAGGAAGGGAGGGATGAAGAAAGGAGGGAAGGAAGGAAGAAAGGAATGAAGGAAGGGAAGGAAGGGTAGAAATACTTTTTCCTCTTTCCCTTCCCTTCTTCATGTGAAAGTCTGTAGCCACCTCAAAGACAAGCAGACCTCAGTGTTGAGTTCTGTGATTGCCTGCAGCTTTCAACATTCCCAGCTGATACTGCACTCTTGTTCTCAAGCTTAACAGAAACATAGCGAATGATAAGTGATGGGAATCTTATCATCTGTACTGTTCGTAGTCTGGATAAACAAAGTGATAGGAAGAACTACAGATGTCCTTCACCAGGACACATTCAGGATGACATAGTGGGTCTTCATATCTCACCCAACTCAATTAACTACTAGCTTAGAATTAAATAAGGTCGTATGAAAAAATTTTCATTAATCTTCAAAAAATGTTTAAAATGCAGCTATGAAGTTTTCAATTCATAACTGTATATTGCTGACAATTAATCTTACATAATATGGTTTCTAAATTTTCTGTATGTCCTCTTGAAATTTAGAATCTAAACGACACTTCAGTAGTGAAATTATGTGAATCAGTAATCATAGGTTTTGTTTTTAACTTTTTGATTATTCATTTTCTTCTTTTCATTTATACTGGAATTTAGATTTAGGGCTAGGCTATGTTGGGCATCCTAGGTATATGCTCTAACACTGAGTTATATCTAAACACATATGGTAATTTCTTTTCTGCTTTGGTGAAATATACAGTAGCATACCTATGCCCTCTTCAAAACTGAAAACACACACACACAAACACACAGAAAGAACTGAAAATCTTAGAAATTATGATTCATTACAACACAAATATTGGTCACTTTCTGTTTATATTTCTCCCTCACTGTAGCCTGGCAGACCTGTAAAAATCACCCAAGAGAGAGGGGTGGATATGAAGAAAAACCTGACTTATAAGGTGCCTTCTGTTATTTTCTGATGCTGACCCTGTGCTCCCCACTTCAGGAACCCAGCACCTGTTGGAGGCCTGTGTGCAAGCCAGCGTGCCAATCTTCATCTACACCAGTTCAGTGGAGGTAGCTGGGCCCAACTCCTACAAGGAGATCATCCAGAATGCCCACGAGGATGAGCACCATGAAAGCACATGGTCTACTCCCTATTCATACAGCAAAAAGCTGGCGGAGAAGGCTGTGCTGAAAGCTAATGGCTGCACGCTGAGAAATGGTGGCACCCTGCACACTTGTGCCTTGAGACCCACCTACATCTATGGAGAAGGAAGCCCATTCTTATATTCTGTGGTGAATATGGCCCTCAAAAACAATGGGATCCTGAAAAGTACAGGCAAATTCTCTATAGCCAACCCAGTCTATGTTGGTAATGTGGCCTGGGCCCATATTTTGGCCTCCAGAGCTCTGAGGGACCCCAACAAGGCCCCAAACATCCAAGGACAGTTCTACTATGTCTCAGATGACACACCTCACCAAAGTTATGATAATCTCAATTATAACGTGAGCAAAGAATGGGGCCTCTGCCTTGATTCTGGCCCGAGCATCCCTTTGTCTCTAAAGTACTGGCTTGCTTTCCTGCTGGAAATGGTGAGCTTCCTGTTGAGTCCAGTTTACAAATATCAACCCCCCTTTAACCGCCACTTACTGACCCTGTCAAATAGCGTGTTCACGGTCACTTATAAGAAAGCTCAACAAGATCTAGGGTATGAGCCACCCTTCAGCTGGGAGGAAGCCAAGCAGAAAACTGGGCAGTGGATCAGCTCGCTAGTGCAGCAGCACAAGGGCACTTTGAAGACAAAGACTCAGTGATGTGGCCATGACAGGGAGGGGTTCTGGGTGATGCCTGGAGCTACTTATATTCTCCTTCCATCTGGGTTCCTCCAGAATGTGACAAAGGCACATGCCCATGTCCTACAGCCTCCCACTCACACAATGGCAACTTATGGTTTTCCTAAAATCACCAGATGCCTGTTGGTATCATTTCCCCTTGCTACTCATAAAGTATTTTCTTCTTCTGGAAAATTTACACTGCTTCACAAAGCACTATGTAAAATAAAATAAAAGTTTGAATTCCTAACATAGAGTCCATGTGATTTTTGTTAACACACATTTTCCATCTTTCTTTTCCTTTCCAGTTAGGGTCATGTGCTATTCAGGAGCATGGAACTGTCTTGGGAAGAGTGATGTTAGGTCCAGGGGAGCATTTGAGATTGCCTGTGACCTGTTAGGACTCGTGCATATACCAGATGACTTATATCAACTAATTATAGCCTCACCAAACTACTGGGATCAGACTCCTATCCCCATGACATGGATAAGGAAACTTGTTCACAGGCTCACTAACTGGTATGTGTTGAGGCCAAATCTCCACGGAGCCTGACTTAAGATTTCTCACCTTCTCCTGAATCTTGTAGGCTTCCAGAGTGGCAGCAGAGCTGTGGTGTTTTCCCTCAGACAACTTGCTATCAACTTTGGTGTAGGTTCTTCCTATCCAGACTGTTAGAGAAGCTCTAGAATCAGGAGAATCCCTGAGGCAGCCCTAAGACGTGGTAGAGTGTGCAGTAGCTACATACCTCAAAAACTGGCTTGAGAATTAAGGGCAAAGCAGACGTGCTTCCAACTTGTTCTTGCAATGTCAGAGTTCGTGATGTTTCTAGAATACGCCTGTATATATGTGTGCTGACCATTATGGCCATTTATAAATTCATATTTAGTCTTGCAATTCATACATTTAAAAGGAGCATATGTTCTTGGCAAGTAATGCAAAGATGTCTCAAATCCCACCACAAAAGTATCTGCTAATCAGCCTGAAGTGTGCAAATCTCTCCTACTTCAAGATTTAACTGTCCCTCCCTCTGTCTTCCTCCCATCTGCTTATATCCTGTATTTTTTTCTTTTATTCCTCTATCTCTATGGCTTCTTTGTTTTTCTGTATTTCTCTCTCTCAAACTTGTGAATTTCCACATGTAGAACAGAACAAACCAGCATCTGTTAATTTCAATGATGGTTTGGTCATTAATCAACAAGTGAACCAACAGTCAAGTTCTGTTGATTCCTGAGAGACAGAAGCAAATGAGGAGCCATGTGTTGTGGCTGGGTGTGGAAAGCTGCACACATTGCACTGAGGAAGTACTTTCCTTGTGCATCTGTATTACAAACATCACAAAAGTCTCTCCAGTATCAAGATTTATTTTCTCCCCATGTTCAACAAAAGTTTTAAGTGGCTGTTTTTAGAATGGAACTCCTATATTATTTTCCACTAAAATGGCTACTGCTGGGCTAAAATTTCATACCACAGCTGTAAACAAGATGCCTATTTGATGTCACAGGAACAAGGACAGATCGTGATAAAAATGGACACATTTTCAAGTAAGTCAAGTACAGGCAGTTTGACAAGGAAACTCTTTGGGCTGCAACCTTCACAAGAAATTAACTTTGAAATAATAAAGTTTGACATAAAAATAAATTGAACTGAGAGTCTGCCCTAGGCGTATGTGACTACTGCCAAGGCCTGATGCTGGTGTTGGATAAATTTATCCCCAGAACAAAGGTTAGGGCCTGAACCAGTAAATGATCTGTGAAGTCTTGCATCTCAAAGCAAAATAATAAGGGCAGCTGATGACTTTGACTCATCTAAATGCCTTCTAGCTTAGTAATCCAGTTAACATGTAATCTGGTTACTAGTTTATCATGATCTATTCCTGTGTACTTTTCCAAAAATGCATTGTTCCTCCATCCTTGAAACTTGACTACCTCAGCATTTCACTACCATTACTTCTTGCAGCCCACCAGCACACACTCGACTAAGCTGTGCACCTAATAATTTCTGGGGACACCATGCTGCCAGTCTTATTCCTTCATTGCCCTTTAACCACCATGGTTCCCCTTGTAAGTAAAATAAATTTCTTAAGGTAACTACTGACTTGAGTAGGTTCTTAACTGGGATTAAAACATGCCAGAAAAGCAGATTATAACACTCAAATTAGAAAAAAAAATCATAAATAGGCACATGGCAGAGGAGAAATTGTCTCCCCTGAGAACTCTTCAACTAGGAATTCAGTCCAATCAGTTTGAGATACATTATGAAATACAATAGCTCCTGTGTCAGGCACAGAGCAAACAAAAATGCTCCCAACAGAGGTTTCCACCCCCAGAACAGAGTCTCTGTGGGAAAAGTTCAGTCCCTAGGTGCCAGAGTCTGTACAACTAAGGCAGTTAGCAACACTAAAGTTATTTGGGTAAGGCCCACTTCAATAAGAAAGGCTTGGGAGAGAAAATAATCAAGCACAAATCTATCAGGAAACACACAGAATGTTGCAGAGTCCAACACAAGCCAAAAATGTGGGAATGGGGAGAAAACTCAGTGTCCTGTTCCTACCATGATATGTCACAGACTCCTGGGCAGAGGAAAGAGTTGTGTTGGTGGGAGCTGACCAGCAGTGCACAGCAGGAACAATAGAGCTCTGTATACCACAGAGCCACGAGCCCCTCTGGGGTGCAATAATCAGCTTGAGCCTGAAGTGTACTTAACAGCTGGGTGGGAGGTTATAGATATGCTGATGCCATGCCAGAGCTGGAGGTAACCTCGGGCCTGCCTTCCTGTGCTGCCCTGGACACCATGTTGTCTTATACACTGGGCTCTGCCCAGCTGTGCCACTATGCACACCAGGCAAGCTGACATCTGCCTTTTTACGTACATGGGGTCACCAGTCTTACAACATTGAATGGTGAAAGTACCAGTGGCAGAGGTGAACCTGTGGGCATAACAGCAAGTGCCTATAACCCATACAAAAGAGAAGAGAGTCATTGATTCCTCATTCACAAATGATAGAATATTTTCATGCTTCAGTTGGCTTTTAAGAATATAAATAAGACATTACAATCAGATCTTTGCGGCAAATACTGAATGATGAGCATGTGCACACAGGACCAGTGGGTAGAGCATGACCCAGGCTGGAGCCAAGCGACAAGATCTGTGGGTGGTCAGGGCCACAACAAAAATCTCAAAAATTACCTAAAAACTTGTCAAGATGTAAAATCCAAGTATTAGAAAAGTTCAATGTTAGCCCAACCTACACAGAAAGCCTCTCAATTAGATTTGAATCTTGCGAAATTTTTATTTTAGTGATCAAAAGAATGCAACCGATAGAATCTATAATACTGAAAATCAGGCTTGCATATCTACATAAAATTGCTGTTAGTTTCTGTCTGCCATAAATCTTTATAATTTCTTCAAACACACTGTTGATATGTTAAGCTTTACAGAGAGAGATGCCACAAGCACTGTTAAAAAAAGTCTATGAAATTTTTTTTAAAAAATAGAAAGAAGGCTGAATGAAAGCTAGATGAAGGATAAACATAACCAAGTTGCCTATATTCTTTACACAAAATAAAATACAAAAAATACTTACTATAGGTAAAAGGTTTTTATTTCTTCCAATTCTATATTACAAGAGATCCCTATTAATTGATGTACAAAAATTCTGACCAGTCTATTCATAATTATAAATGAAAAATTATAAAATATTACTGTAATTCAATTGGGACAAATATATCTGAGTGCACTCTGATTTTATAAACAAATTGTCTTATATGTGTTTGTTTGCCTGTACAATCTGTAAACAGCTGTTTTATTTGCCCTCATCTTTTTTCTTTTTCGCATTTTTGAATTTTTGAAACATTTGTCTGTAATTCAAATTGGCTTATTAATAAATGTCATTAAAATTAAAGAGATGCTTTCACCCAGATTGTCAGCTGATCAAAATGATGTTAAAATTGGTTTTATGAATGTAATGCTGTCTGTGTACAATATTTGGGAGTCTTCACTGTTTAAAAATGTGTTAAGTGTAATGATCTTTATCTCACATGTCGTAAACCATTTGTTAAGGTACTTAAATTGGAATGTTTTAAGATTAGGGAAATGATTGGAAAGGACTCCCCTTGATAATCATTGGAGGAGCTCCCTGGAAATATTGCTCCAGTGCTTGCTCATTAGTGGGTACCCCCGTAGTCTCCATAGCCTTATGGGAGACACCCTAATAAAGATTAAATATATTATTGTAGTGAGAATTGTTCATCATCCAAAGCATAAGTTTTCTATAAATAAAACAGTAAGTTTTTCTCATTAAAAGATGTTCTTGGTATAAAACTCAATTAAGAAGCAGAAGATTCCATATAGCTATGACAATTCACTGTTGATATTCCCTTGGTATACTAAATATATTCATGCTTGACAGATGTACAGGTTTTCTAAATGTAAAACTGAGACTGTTTATAGTGATAATACTTTTTCATTAGGACTGAGATGTCTGCCTTTCTCTTGTGCTCCAGCTATTTGTGATAAGAGATATATGCCAAATTAACATGAGATTGCTTGTCAAATGACAGCCTTTTAAAAATTTGTGATGTATATGCTACATGTGTCACTTTATTCCATACAAAGATAAACATGTATTTATGTTACAAAGATAATGTCATCATGATTGTTCCACTAAACTACTATGTGTGTCCTTTGGGATAAACTTTTCCTTGTAAAACTATGTAACTGTTGTCTGTTAACATTCTATAGGGACGCAAATACTAAGACAAGAATGGTTGTAAGGAATAACAGTCCTCTGCTATACTTTATATTTCAAACTGCTTGATATGCAGATAAAATTATTGGAGTTAAACTCACTGCTCCCACTGCAATACAAATGTCACTGATCTTCTCTTCTGAGTGTTCAACAACTAAAGTTTAGAGGCTAAAACTAGAAAGATGGGGTTGAGCTAAAAGGACAGCCAATATTTTGACCCCAGTACTTCAAGGAAATGAGGACACAGGACATGAGGGAATCCTTTCTGTGCCATCCTGTCACCTGGTGAGTCACCCAGCCTCCTGATAAAGAAGATGGGTGTCCCCAGACAACAGAAGCACAAAGATCAGTGGGCCAAAGGAGGGTCACTACAGAAAATAGTTCTCCTGTTCATTCATAGAAAGCAATTGGATACACAAAGGCCATGACTCATCCTGATAGCTGATACTGACTGAGGATCTGAGAAGTCCCTTTTATGGTTCCACAGTGA